GGCAGTGTTCCTTGCAGGGAGAGGAGAGAAGCGTCCTCCCTCCCCAGTGGCAGGGTGAGCTACAGGGATGCTGGGCAGTCGGCTCAGGTCCCCAGCTTCAGTATGATGTTTTGGGAATTGGGAGCCCAGTCTCCATTCCCCAGCGGGAGATAAAACAGGGAATCTGGGAGCCCTGTCTCCATTCCCCAGCGGCAGAGTGTCCTACCGGGAATAGAGAGCCCAGTCTCCTTTCCCCAGCAGCAGGACTCTGTATTGGGAGCAGAGACAGTCGGTCTCCTTCCCCCGCGGTTGGAAGTATATATGGGAGAGGAGCTGGTTACCCCCTCTCCCCAGCGGCAGCTTAATGTACCAGGGGGAGACAGTAAGCCCCACAACTGTGCAGATGGGACCATGGTCTCTGCACGTCCAGTACAGGGGGTAGGGACGGTCGGTTCTGCCCCCCAGCAGCAGAGATGTGTGTCCAAAGGGGAGACAGTCGGTCTCCAGCAGCAGAGCTGTGTAACCAAAGGGGAGACAGTCGGTCTCCAGCAGCAGAGCTGTGTAACCAAAGGGGAGACAGTCGGTCTCCAGCAGCACTGCTGTGTATATAAAGGGGAGACAGTCTGTCTCCCCCTTCAACAACCAGGCTTCAACCAGGATACCCTCCCAGTAGCGCTGGCAACAGGGCAGAGTACCGCTGGTCTCTGCCCACGCATCAACCCACCAAGTCATCATACCCGTACCCAGCACAGTCGTGGTGAGACACCTGGACATGGACAAGCTTCTCCTTTACCCAGGTGTAGTAACCATATATTGTGGGTGGGCTATGCTTTTGATTGTGTTTTGTGGGTGGGCTGCTGGACTAACAAGGGCACTGACCGGCAGGAGGTCAGATACCCTGTTAGTCTGTTTGGAAAAGGGGAGAGATGTGATGAGACCAATCTCGCCACATTGCATTGGAGAAGCCTGGTTGCTCACCTGCTGCCTTTGGACTATGGCCCCCATGTTAAAAGACTTTGTATTCGACTTCAATAACAAAAGTAATGTTATGAAGAAGATTATAAAAAAACATTGGCATATATTAAAACAGGGTGAGACTTTGGCCGGAATTGTCCCTGAGAAACCACAAGTTATATTTAGAGGGGCACCCAGCTTTAAGTCTATCCTTACAAGTAATTACACTAAACAAAAATATATTCCCCCAACCCCCAATCCTTTCACCTTTTTAAATAAACCCTGTGGTTTCTTTAAATGCAATAGATGTATAGTATGTAAACGCACTAGTGACACTATAAAATCTAAAACAACATCGTTTTTATCCACAAGGACACAGAAAACATACCAAATAAAAATTTTTATTCATTGCAAAACAAAAAATGTCATTTATCTTTTAGAATGTCCTTGTGGGCTCCAATATGTCGGGATGACTACGAGAGATTTAAAAACCAGACATTGATTTTGATCTTTTGAATTTTTTATAATATTGCTGCATTTTTAAGGATACCCCTTTAAGTATTGTTTTTACTCTCTGGGTGACAGACCCATCCGTATGGACTAAGGTTACTGTGTTCGTCTGTTTTGCCGTTTGCATGAATTTCCCCATTCGTATGCCTTGATTAAGGGAATGTATTTTTTTTGTTGAACGGAACTACCGAACGGACGGCCACCCAGAAGAGAAGTGTGCTGCTGGTTAACCTATTAGAACGTTGCGGTTAACCACAGACACTTCTCAATTAAAACCGAATACCGGGTGGTCGTCGTTCGTATGTCGACCACGAGGCGGCGGACATTTTAACTATGCGAAAGCCCAGCGGTGTTCGACGATTATTTAATGGAACTCAAAACGGACACTTTTTCAACCGAACACCGCTGAAGCCATTGACCTCCCCTTCTCAATCGACAAAAGCATACGAATACCGGCCGTTCGAGAGATTTAACAACACGAATGGACTTAACCCAGATAGCCTTCCCATGGAGTCAATCGCATACCGAAGAACTGTAATAGACTTTGACTCAATGGCGATTTGCCTCTGCTCTGGGAGATAATTGAATTACTTCTCAATTATCTCCCAAGCAGAGGGGAGGAAACTGTGATGCATGCTGGGAATATTGTGGGGATGTATGTCTGAAATGTCCCCATGTCCTTCTGTAATTCCAGTCTCCCATTTGGTCCCCTAGGGGAGTGTCCACCAAGTGGGAGACCTGCATAAATACGGGCAGGTAGCCCACAGTAAACTCAGTTCGTGTTTTACCCTCAAAGCGGAGCTTGGTCTCGTTATTGGGGGGATTTTATTACCGTCGACTAGAGACTGCTTATTGGGATTATTTGCCGCTTGAAAACTATTGCCGTTCGGCTGCTATTGGCGATTCGTGCATTTGGAGCTCGTGAAGGGAAGGAGCCGTACAGGTACCGTTCGGGAGTTTGGAGTGTTCCCTAGTTGGCGGTTCGCATGGTTATACTGCATACGCTACCAGACCACATTATTGCGAACGGGGAGCATTCACTAAACGGCGGTTTGTGCATTTACTACTGGAGGTACCGTAACACTCTCCTCTTCCCCTTTTTAACTTATTATATTGTAAAGTGCCTATATATGTATATATATATATATATATATATATATATTGTAACAGAGTGTTGGGGATGGTGGTCAGGGGTGTATATCTGGCACCAAGACTTTTGCACAGCCACTATCCTGACATGTGGGTAAGCACATGCAGCCCCAGGGAAAGTTAAGTTTAAATTTAGTTTTTTTTTCCTCTTGTTATTTGGGTCCCTGGGGTGGAGTATTCGGAAGAGCAGGGTGGGCCGATTCTCCACCCACTGTCAGAGTGGTTGTGCATGAGTCCAGCCCAGGTTTCCCATAGAGTTCTGGCTCACTGCCTAACGAGGTCATTAGCCTCACCTGTAGGGGCTGTGAGCAGCTATATAACTGCAGTTAAAGCAGGGTGAAGTGAGGGAAGTGTTTTGGAGGAGAAAGAAGGTGTTTTGTGGAGAAAGAAGATTTGCTGATTCATTGTATCCTGTTACTTCACAACAACAGAAAATAAACAGGCCAGAGGCCTTTTTGAAACTGGACTTTGTCTTGACCTGGTTTTCTTACCCTAGAGGGCTGTGCGGTTGCCAAAAGATCCTGGACAAACACACACAGGAAAGTAAGTTTGTCACATATGGTGGAGAATGCGGGCACTGCACTAAAGAAGCCTGTGGGTATTAACTGGAAGCCAAACAAGCCTGTAGAAATATGGAGGAAGTTGTGAAAGTCTTGTTGCAAACTACAGCTGCACAGCAAAAGGCTACAGCCGTACAGCAGGAGGCTACAGCTGCACAACAGGAAAATATTACAGCCCTACAGCAACTGGTAATTACGCAAAAGGCCAACACAGATGCGTTGATCCAGCAGGTTATGGCAGCCCAAGCTGAGGCAAACCGCCTGCTCAGAGAGGAGCAACATCAGGCCACCAGTATGATACAGAAGGAGATACAGGCTTTGACCAAAGGACTGACCAGAGTCTCGGATGGGACGCAGTCCGAGGTTAAAATGATCAGAGCCAGCCGTTACCTGCAGAAGATGACACCTACAGATGATGTGGAAGCATACCTGCTAGCTTTTGAGAGGACAGCTGAGAGAGAAGAGTGGCCGGTGAGTGAGTGGGCAAGCATACTGGCACCTTTTCTTATTGGAGAACCCCAGAAGGCATTCTATGACCTGGAACCAGCACAGGCAGGGGTCTACTCCAAACTGAAGGCTGAGATCCTTGCACGACTTGGTGTGACTAGGGCAGTTCGTGCCCAAAGATTTCATGCCTGGTCTTTCAACCAAGAGAAACCTATCCGCTCCCAGATGTTTGACCTGATACATCTTGCTAGAAAGTGGTTACAACCAGAAATAAATACGGCAAGCCATATCATGGAACTTCTTGTGATGGACAGATTCCTGCGGGGCTTGCCTGCTTCACTGCGTCGATGGGTCAGTCAGAGTGATCCACAAACAGCTGATGAGTTAATTGGTTTGGTGGAAAGATATGTTGCTGCAGATGACAGACAGTGGCTCAACAACACAAAGGCTAAGCAGAGAGTTAAGACTCCAGCTGCTGAAAGACCTGGTAAGAATTTTCAAGGTTTCAGAGACACAGAGGAACAAGAGACATATTCTCAGAGACCTCATATGCTTTTGCCTAGAAATGTTAATCCTGGAAAAGGGTTTAGGTGGGGGACAGTTAATAATATGAAATGTTTC